GTCCAGAGTTTGCTATGAGCATGCTTATTTAAAAGTATGCTTTAATTTTAAATGTTCTTATTGCTGGCAAATGTGAACAGTTTTAATGGCATCCTGAATTTAAGCAAACTTATGAGCATGCTTTTTTTAGCACGACTGTCGGTACCATATACCCCCCATACCACGCTTGCCCACCACTTCTTAGTATTTCCGTGATTGGGAGCACTACCAATGTACGTTTGCATTTTGTAACTATGCAGCAGGCAAATAGACACAGAGAAGCACAAATTGATAAAAATTACTGTAAATGTTTATCAGATGAGACGTGAAAATTAATTTCGTAAGACTCATATGCAAATGATCTGTAGTTCCAAGCGCATTGCCCGCTGTCTCGCAATAGTGTGCGAAACACCGCATTAGATTGTAGTAATTTATACTCTCCGAAAGTTTTTATTGTTCTAGTGAGAATAATAAATTTTTTATACTTTATTGTGTTTTAAAAAGCTATTGTAACTAAATTAAATTATATTTTATAGCTTTCTAATATAGGTAAAACGGTGGAAGTGGAAGGAAACCGAAAACTGAAAACCTTTCGGTATTCAGTAAAGGTTTTAATTTTTCTGTCTGAATCCCCACTAGATAGAGTAACCACCTGATAAAACATACGTCTATGGATAAAGGTGGTTCAGGACCGTCCTTGTGGCAATCATTAGGCATATGTTCTCATAATTATGCTACCATAAATTATTATAATAATAATATTAACCTGCCTTGTTGGTCTAACTCTAATGGTTGTAAGTCGATTGCTGATCATGAGGTCCTGGGTTCGAACCCCAGGTCGAGCCAAAATCTGTTATTGGATATCTCCTTTTTTAGGATCGTGAGTCGACGAACGTTGTACCACTTCTGACTCAGTGAGCCAGAACTGGTACAACGTATCTACTCATAAATGGACTGTGTCTTTTTTGACATTTACTTCCATAAACGAATTATAACGGCAAAACGAATAATAATACCTTTAGTTGTTTAGAACTGTCGAAGTATTTATTATCATTTTTTTCGTAAGTTATTTACATGAATTAGAAATTCACTGCACAAAATCGCATCACTCTCGTATCAAAATATACTTGGGACCGGTATTTGAACCATAAAACAATAGAACCCAATTAATTATTAAAAAAAAACTCTATCACGTACAGAAATATTAAGTAATTCTAAATATTTAATATTAAGAAAATCGATTATGTCATTCAGAAATTTTTCAGTCCAATGTTCGGCCACAAACTCTACAACAGTCGTTGGCAAATTTTGCAGAATAAAAGCCCATTATGATTCACCATAATGCCCCCAAAAGACTCACTTTTTAGATAACACATGTTATGATAACTTTTTAATTTAATTTAAACCTAATAAATGTTACATTAATTTTTACTCATTTTTACACGTAGTAGAACCATGCTGCAGTTATATTAGTAGTATAGTTGTAGCACGAATGGGTTGGCTCGACCGGGGAAGGACCATGCTCTCACAGAATACCAGCGTAAAATAGTAGCTTAATGCTGCTGTGTTTCGTATGGTGAGTATAGAGAACCGGAGACCCTTTTTACTGGAAACGGGGCATTCCATCTTAGTCCTTATGGGTGACAACACACCTGCATTTTGATTCGTAATCGAGGATAGATGTAGATGTCTATTGGCCACAGCAACCACTTACCATTAGGTGGACTGTTTTTTTTTATAGAAGAGGGGGCAAACAAGCATGCGGCTCACCTGATGTTAAGTGACTACCGCCGCCCATGATCAACCGCAACACTAGGGGATTTGCATGTGCGTTGCCGGCCCTTTAGATAGGAGTAAGCTCTTTTCTAGAAGGTCCCCAGGTCGTATCGGTCCGGAAAAATCGCCGGTGGTGAACTATTCCACAGAGAGGTTGCACGTGGAAGAAATTCCTTTTGAAACGTGCAGTGGTGGACCGCCAAGCATCCAGATGGTGTGGATGGTATCGGGACGTTTGTCGCGTAGTGACGAAACGTTCACGAAATTTGGCGGCTGGGATTAATCCGAACAATTCCTCAGAGCACTCCCCATGGTATATACGAAGGAAAATGCAAAGAGATGCAACATCTCTTCGCAGCGCCAGTGAATCGAGCCGATCGGAAAGCACTCGTCGCAGGTCGTCGACGATTCGAGCCGCTCTGCGCTGGATGCGGTCAAGTGGAAGTAGCTGGTACTGGGGAGCCCCAGCCCAGAGATGGGAACAGTATTCCATGTGCGGCTGAACCTGCGCCTTGTAAAGTTGCAGGCGGTGTGCCGGCATGAAATACTGTCCCGCTCTGCTGAGCACGCCAAGCTTTTTAGAGGCCAATTTGGCCTTCTCTTCCAAGTGACCACGAAACTGCACTTCACTCGATATGTCGACGCCGAGGATTCCGATACTGGCTGAGGCAACAAGGGGAGTGCCTTGAAACTGAGGGGATACGACAAAGGGGTTCTTCTTAGCGCTTAACGCGCAAACTTGTGTCTTCTGGGGGGGGGGGGGCTAAACTGGACTAGATTTAGTCGCCCCCAATCCGAGACTCTGTTTAGCAAAGACTCGACTTCAGACACAAATTTGTCCCGGTACTCGGAGACGTTTTCGCGAGAAATATTGGCACGGCCGGTGTAAAGAGCATAACCAGTGCTGTCATCTGCATAACAATGAATGTTACGGGTTTGCAACATATCATTGATATTGTAACGCTCCCCCCCCCCTTCTATATAAAATAAATATATAAAATAGTAAATATATTATATTCCCCTTTATAATGAAAATTATATATTTGTGACCAAGATATATAAGATATGTTTTGATCTTTCTAAATGATCTTTCTAAAGGTTTAATAATAGGCCGTTTGAAATATTTTGGCGTGATCGTCTTTGTAAGGACCCTTATTTACGTTGTGTTTGTTTAGTAACTTAGTTCTTTTAGGTGTCTTTTGGAAGAATGAATATTCACTAGAGCAATTGAAAGCTGTTGTTAGTGACTTATAAGCTAAGTGAATCCCGTTCACGAAGACAGGGCTCGAGAAAGGTTAAGAACATAAAACGTCCTTATTCCACTTGCATCAGGTTTACATTATTAATTTATTATTATGTATCCCTTCCAGCTTGGGAAAGACTCACAATATTTTTATACAAAATACCCGATACTTCGCTCTTACATTATCACCCGGCCCCACACACGCCGTGCACGGTGACTGCCAACCATTTTGATGCACTCCCCCCCAAGGGAATGCTAATTCGGAAACTGGACCGTAGTCCACAGCAAAATAACTGGCGAACCAGTAAAAGAGGCTTGGCCCCTTGTTAGTGCGTAAGCACAAACATCGACCGAAGTCGCTCATGTCAATGCGTGTAAACGCCATACAGAATGCGAACGAATCCAGCCACAGTGAATGTACGTCACACGGTTTAGGCAAATAGGCACTCTGGCCGTAAACCCTCCGTGAGCGCCACCACCTGGCAGACCGCCGCTCCTGCAGACGTGATGTAAGTGTATGGCATCACCCCCAATTGCATGATCAGCACGGCTACTAGCCGCAGAGCGTGTCAGGAGACTACCGCTCACCTCAAGGGAATGGGGTCCCACGTTGTGCGTTTCGGCGCGAGTCTCCTCAGATCCTAATATAGGACTAGTCATTGTGCTACAGTACTTCAAGCTGTCGGGCTCCCGACCACCCCATATATATGTACAACTGCAGGTATGTATCTCCGGCAGCTCCTCCATACAAGACATCTATACATGAACACCTTCCATAACTTAGGAAAATTTTCTTTTATACATGAACTCCCTCCGCAACTTAGACAATTTTTAACAAATTTTCTAATTATCTTATAAACGTTATTTATCTTTATTTTTATAATATTTTCGACTTGTATTTCTATTGTTTATCATGTTTTAAATATTTTTACAAGTTTTTATAATAAATTTATTTATTATGAAAGCCAATATTTTGCCTTTAATTTACTATATTATTGGTCTAATGTTTGAAATGTATTTATATAAACTTTATGCTTATTAATGTAATTTTATTGCTTAATATAAGTCTTTTAAGACTATTTTTGACGCCCCTTTATATTGAATTTAATTATTATAATAATATTGGGCCGTCACAATATGCAGAAGAAACAGCGTTGTCGATAGCACGCAGCCTTGTGGAATACCAGCATTAATAGGCTTGTAATATGAGCTTGCACCGTCTACAACGACCTTGATGCTACGATCTGCAAGAAAGCTCGTGATCCAATCGCACAATTTCTCGGGAAGCCCATAGGAAGGGTGCTTCGAAAGAAGCGCTTTGTGCCAAACCTGATCGAAAGCCTTCGCTATGTCCAAACTAACGGTCAATGCCTCCCCCTTGGACTCTACTGCTTGCGCCCATCTATGAGTTAGGTAGACCAGAAGATCACCAGCTGATCGACCACGGTGAAAACCGTATTGGCGATCACTACTCAGCTGGTGATCCTCAAGGTACCTCATGAGCTGGCAGTTTACAATGGACTCCATTGTTTTGGAGAACAAGGAAGTGATGGCGATGGGCCGTTAGTTGGACGGGTCTGAGCGGTCGCCTTTTTTAGGGATCGGGTGGACGAAAGCCGTCTTCCATGATTTTGGGACTACGCCTATGGAGTAGGAGTACCGGAAAAGACGCGTTAAAACCGGTGCCAACTCTGGAGCACACGTCCCCAGCATAATTGGGGGGGGGGGGGGCGGGTGCGGTTCCGTCAGGCCCACTCGACTGTGGATGTCCAGGGAGAGGAGTGCTTTGCGAACCAAGCGCTGTGTGCGACTGTGTGCTTGTTTGTCACCCTATCCTATAAAAAAGAAATTAAACTTGTTTTTTTAGAACTTACGTTCTCATTAACATACTGGGGATGGAAGTATCAGTTGGCTTATTTATTTAAATACATTCTGCAATAAAAAAGCTTACATTTAAAATGTACTGTGATACTTATCTTATTAATGAATGTATGATACTTACGTTATTAATTATGTCTCTTTCAATGACGGTAATATTAGCGTCCTCAGCCAACAGCTTCAGTCCGGGGCCGGCCATTGTGCCGTGATGCCACAGTGTAAAATCGTAGGCGTGGGACGCACCGATCATGTGACTGTAGCCATTCTCATCAGGCTTACTTGGATAATGACGTGGATGGGTCAGCCTTGACCAACGTCCATGGAAAGTTATCTAGGGAAACAATAATGTTTTGAACATCATAAAATACAAAAATAATGTTAGATTTTTTTAGATTAAGGTACGAGAAACTGAGTCGAATAGAAGTACCTCACGTAATTATCAGACTAAATATCGATTACAAATTAATCGGTATTTAGTCCCACTTGGTCTCGGTCGATGTATGTGTGATGTGATACATTCACTGTATCGTACAAATTCACTCATAAGCGCTATTTTTATATTTGATTGAACGCCTCGTTTGTGGTGGTTAAAGAATATCCTCTACCCCATATCATCCCGTGGGTGTCGTAAGAGAGGACAGAAGGAAAGAAATCAGTCAACAACAGCCTCTTCCTAATAACGATTAAAAACAAAATGCGGTTGACAACCCGTTTGCAAAGCGTGGCAACAGTGGTAAATTTCCTCCCTATGAGGCAATCTATGGGGGAGGCCTAGGTTCAAAAGTAAATTTTAATATGCTGTAAGGGTAACGGTAACGAACGTTTCGTACATACAAGATTCATTATCAGTCTATAATTTGATATTTTAATCACGATTTTTTAAGTTACTTTCTTGTTTGTCTGTCTGTCTGTCATTCCGAGTGGAATCTTGCAACTCAATTTCCAAGCACTTCCCAATTAGCTAGTCTTGGAAATTTGAACATAGCTCAGAAAGGGATAACAATTTAGCAATATGAAAAAGGTAGGATATTAAATTTTTAGCGTAAAATAAAAATAAAACACTTATTACTTCAGTACATTATACTCAGTGAACGCAAATAATTATTCCACTAATTATACTATATAAAAATAAAAAACTTTAAGGAGCGATTTAACGTTTATTACGTCTTTGATCTCAGTTTCTTTTTGTGATGGTCGATTTGTAGCAGAACATTTTTTGTGTTAAAAACTTGTTATTCCTACTTGTTTTATTAATATTGACGTAAACAAAACGAAGAACCAAAGTCAAAATAGTTCATTAATTCACTATTGCAACTTATAACATAAATAAACTTGAAATTAACTTGTAGTGGCGCAGACACTCGCAGATTTCTTTGTTTTATTCCACATAATATAGAAATCGATCTCAATTGCGTTTCGAGTCAACAGTGTGTCCATGTCGAGGTTTATGCTTCATCCAAACTGAATTTCGGTCACGGCGGCCAGTCTCAAAGGATACTAGCCATCTGCACAGGATTATAGCGCCAGAGAGTGTGCGCAAGTTTAAATGCACTCCCTATTCCCTCACTCGCATGGTCTGATGGGACAGTTACCGGACCGGAGTGAGATCAGGAGTAGGACTAACTGTTTTACATGCTTTTCAACGCACGGGGGTCAAACCCCGCCAACTTCTTGACTTCGGGCGGTTACTAAGAATTTCTTTATAGAAAAACTGAAGATTTGATTTTGGCCCGACCCGGGCTTATCATCAGTAACCGCGGTAACGACTAATAGACCAACGGGGCAGTATAGCTGATATATTTTATTGGACGGTCAAACTGTAGTGTTTGGTTATTATCATATTACTGACCACATATTTTCACTTCAAGATACAAAATATTAGGTTAAGCGAAGATTTTCGCAGGAAATTAGGCACTGGGACAGGTAACCTTATGCCTTTATTCCTGATAAAAGTCAGAAAGAATAAAGAATATAGTTTGCAATGAAATGTAAGCTTTCATTTGGTACGAAAAGTCAGTTTGGAGATCAAAACTGTTACTTACTTTGTTCTTATTAGGCATTGTAAGTACAATAGAACAGAGAACACAGTTCATCTACATTTACCTACACTCCTAAACCAGTCAATAGTATCACTCACGAGAATTAACAAGACAGTTTATTACAGTGACTGAGTGTTTGGCTAAAGTACTTTTTTTTTTTTTGTTACATGGGGAAATGCCTACGCATACCCGCCTCGCGGGGGGCAAGGACGGGTTATGTCGGACTCGCACCGACTAAAACCCCATGGTGTTCCACCTTTGTCGCATATTGGCAGGGCTACGGGAACGCTTTCGCACACATCCGCGGCCCTACTAGCGCCTGCCGCCCCATGGCAGCACCTCCTCGGGAGAGGAAAATTCCTCCCCGTTCTCCTTCTAGGTAAGGCGCACCAGAACACATGGCGCGCCTTCCTCCACGGCCTCCAATTACGTCTGTGCAACAGACGCCCCCGCGTCCCATGCACAAAGGCCATGGGGCCAGGAAAAACGAGCACTTAGAAGTACTAGCCTTCCCGACCCCAGCGGCGGATCTGGTCTATGGCTCCGCCGCCAACCAATATTCGGCTGCGGAGGGTAGGGAGAGCGGCGCCTCGCAATACCGACAATCCTCTCCCCCCGCAGCCCCACCACCACCGCATCAACGGTGCGGCCCCGTTTGAGTCGCGGAGGATAGGGCGAGTGGCGCATCGCCATACCAACACTCCTCTTCCTCCGCGACTCCACCTCGGCTGCAGCGGTAGGTGGGGAGGACACACCTCTCACCGCAGTCCACCAACACACATCCAAAGTGGGCTTCCCAAGCCCACTCGGAGTGGCTAACACCTCTGGCCGGCCCTCCACCTCGGACCAGCCATATATGGGTTCCTCTTTGTTTCGCCGTGGGTGACCAAGCCACGGCTTCTAAGCCCCCCGCCACGACAAGGCGGGAACCCGTTCGGGGGGGTTGGCTAAAGTACTGCCGGCCGCATGTTCTAAACCCTTTTTGGACAATTATTTGTATGGCCTGATCTGGGTGTTTGTCTATGTGTAACTTATTGGCGTTAACCAATTCCATGAAACAGAAAAAATTCAAAGTAATTAGGATATATTTCATCCGCTGGACATGGGCCTATTCTCTGGTCTGGGTATTTAAGGTCTGGCGTAAACGAAAAATTTCTGCCGTCATCTAATAAAGCCATAACGTAATTTTGGCATTTCCCAAAGTTGCATCTTACGATACCCACACTACGAAATAGTATGATGGATTTTCTGATTTATATATATATATTTCTTAAATTTTACCGTATAGTGGTGATGCTGACAGAAGGAGTTCATAAGAGCAGACAAAAGTTATATGAACTTTACCATGAAAGGTCATAATATACTCCTAGCGTCAAATTTAGAGAATATGTAAAAAAATATTCAAAAATATTTGAAATAGTGTGCTCCAAAGCAAAGTTTTTATATTTGAGTAACAAATAAAGACGACTGTGGGTATATTCTGTGACCTATTCAAGGCCATCGATTGTGTTCATCATGAAACATTAATCAGGAAACTTCAACACTACGGTGTAAGAAGTGATGCTTTTAAATTAATTATTTCATATTTAGGTAGCAGAATGAAAAAAGTTGTCACTAATAGTATGAGTTCTTTCGGATCGGTACTACAAATGTGTGTGCCTCAGGGCTCAATTCTCAAGCCCTTTCTGTTTGTTGTATATATTAATGACCTACCTTACATAGTAGGAGATAACAACGATATAGAATTATTTACTGATTACACATTACATTAATTTTAAAATTAAAACAATAGTTACTAAATTATGAGGAACTAAATAATGCTGTATCTACACAAACACTCACGCTTGTCACTCAGAGGGGTAGGCAGAGACTACAGACTTCCATTTAGCACGATCCTGACATACCTCTCTCCCCTCTTCCACATCCATATACCTACGCATACATGCTCGTCGGTTAAGGGTACTCTTAATTTGGCCCATTTTTAGTATATCGCCAATTTGGACGTCCCTTTCCGACTCTTCCATTCACTTCTGCAACATATATTTGCTTTGTCAGTCTTTCCGCATTCATTCTTCTACATGACCAAACCACCGAAGCATTGCTTTCTTAATCCTGGTCACTGCATCATCTTGCAAACCACACTCTTCTTTTATCACACAGTTTCTCACCCTGTCACTCAGATTCAGCCCTAACATACTCCTTAGCGACCGCATTTCTACTGCATTTATTCTACTCTCGTGTTTCTTCTGCCACACCCAACTTTCACTACCATATGATAAAGTAGGGACTAATACAGCATTGTGAATTGCCATACGTGCCTTTTTTGACACATTCTGAATTTTCATAATAGTGTAGAGCCCCATTTATTTTATTTCCTGCATTCACTCGTCGTTCAGTATCCTTATCATATCTCCCATCCCTGCTGAATACACATCCCAAATATACGAACTCATTTACTTGCTCAATTAACTCTCCTTCTATTCTTATTTCACATACCGTTTTGCTTTCTTCTCTTTCAAAAACCATCACTTTCGTCTTAGTTGCATTTACTTTCATTCCCCTTTCTTTTAATGACCTCTTCATTAATGTAACCATCATTTGCAACTCGGCCGCCGACGACGCAAGTATGACTTGATCATCGGCGTACAAAAGGCATTTGATGGTTAACTGACCCATTCTTAACCCGCATTCTTCAATTTTCAAATTTTCAAAACAACTGTCGACAATCAACCATAAATAGGTTGAACAGCCACGGGGAAGCTACACAGCCCCGTCTGACACCTTTATGGATGCCAAACCAGTCCGAGTAGACCCCGTTGATTCTAACACAAGCACTCGAGTCCCTATACAGAGACTTTAATACCTGTATTAAACCAGCGCTCAACCTAAATGCGTTCAGCATTTGCCATAACACATCCTTGTCCACTCTGTCATAAGCCTTTTCCAAGTCTGTGAACGCACAAAAACTTTTTGGTTTTTCGCCAAAAACTTCTCCACGATCATGCGCATGGAAAAGACTTGATCTGTACATCCCATTCCCTTTTTAAATCCCGCTTGCACATCCCAAATTTTTTCATAAGTTTCTTTCATAACTCTTTCAATTAGTACCTTAGCATACAGTTTCCCACAATGCTAAGAAGGCTGATACCACGGTAGTTTTTACAGTCCTGCTGTGACCCTTTTCCCTTATATATTGGGACTATCACGGCTTTGCACAAGTCTCCCGGTACCCGCTTTAGTTCCCAACATAAATTAAACAAGGTGTACAGCAAACCTGCCACCACGTCCTCTC